TGCTTCCTCCTCTTTCTCCCCTGCTACCTTCTCTCTCCCTGTCCTTTTTCAAATATGCAACAGAACCCTGGCTATTCCCTGCAGCTTCGAAGCAATCAGGAAGGCTACTCCTCCTCCCAGCCAGGGAAGAGGAAAGAGAGGGAAGAGCATGAAGGAAGAAGTGCCACCCTCAGTGGAAAGGACATTATTAGCGTGGGAGACAATTATTCCTTCTTACCACAGACTTCCTACAGAACCTTAAGCAAATCTCTGTATCTTTATAAGCCTCAGTTTCCCTTTGTGTAAAACAGACCTGGAAAAGAATGTGATCCTAAACTATATTCCTTGATACCCTGAGATTCTGTGGAGGGCCCACTGCTCAAGGAGTGTGGTTTGCAGCAGGGTGAGGAAGCTCAGTAGCAAGGATCCTGGGTTCCTGTTCCTCACTTCAAGCATGGTTGCCTCCTCTCCCTTATTTTATGTATCACCTTTCTGTAGAAGTTCTTGCTTATGAGGATTCTATAGCTTAAAAGTTTCAAAAACCCCGGACAAGATGTCCTAGAATTCTGACAGTTCATGATTTTATAGGTTATTGGAGGAAGAAAAACGGCTTCCAAAACAATAATAAAAGTGTTTTTGACTGCTCTATTTAAGCACTATGTTAAATGCTTCATATCTGTTTATCTTATATTAAAAAATTTTTACAGCAATGCTATGAATTAATTATCCTTATTTAGCAGATAAGGACCTGGGATTTGAGGAATGAAGTAATTTTGTTCATAATCACATAGCTGTTAAGTAGTGAAGTAGGGTTTGAACTTAAATCTATAGGAAAGAGCAAACTGTTAGTCCACAGGCCAAACCCAGCCTTAAAACACCTGTCTTTTTTGGTTTATACCCTGCTTTTTTTCCTCTTAAAATTTAAATTAATTGCCAGTTTTTAAAAACCAAACAATGTCATATAAAAATTGGATTTAGAGATTGTTTGCCATTTCAAATCTGTCACTGCTAACACTGGGAACTCTACTCCCTTTTGGAAAGGTCACAGTCTCCCAGGTTGCCATAGTCCCTCTCTATGGTCTTAACATCTGGCAAACTTTGCTCATTTAGGGTAACTACCCACCTCTATGGCCACCTGATTTGGTAATCCCTGTTCTACTGAGAAGCCCGTGTCTTTTTCCTTTTAACATTCTTCTACCTGTGCTATTAGTTCCCCCTATTTTATCTGCTCCCTTTTCATTCATTTGCCTTCTTCTTTTTCACCTGCTGTTGTAGGGATCCAGCTCAATATGACTGCAGCCTCTGGGTATGAGTTGGGCTGGGGACTGAACCCAAGGCTTTGTGCCTATTATGCAAATATGCTATCAAAAGCCATTATTCTTCCTCCAGCCCTTCCTGTAGCCATCGTGAGTGGTAACTGCCATGACTACCCTTAATAACCCTCACCTGTTTTCCCTGCAGTTTCTCAGCATACTATAAATAAGCAAAACTATCTGAGTGGTATGTGGGGCTTTATTACCTGATCATGGTGCCATCAATGCCAGGAATATCCTTGTCTTGATATTAGTTTGAAATAAACCAGATACATTCTGGTGTGGATAAAAATCACTTTTGTCCTTTTTACTCTATAAACCAGCTTTGTCTGACTCAAATCATGGGGATACACTGGTTGTTTACCTTTAACTCTGCTTCTGTACTTAAGACCCACGGTAAATTCCATTCTGTACAATCATGGATCTGTCTCCCTTTCTCTTTGGTCTCACAGTACTGGAAGCCAGTTCTCACACAATGGGACCTGGTTTTCTTGGAACAGCCTTCATTCTTTGCCTTTAAAAAAGATAGCTAGTGTGTCTCTCTACTCTTCTGTTTCTTGAATTCATTTTTCTAATCCTAGCACAGGTAGCTCTACAAATATCATTGTCAAATCTCTCAAGAGGGATGTGCCCACTGAGGGTGAGTTCTGAGGGCAGAATTAAGTCCAGCGGAAGGGAAAGGAAACAATTGAATGTATGCTTTGGGGCTCACATAGTCCTGAGTTCAATACTGGCTCCTTCTTCTATTATCTGCAAGACACTGGCCATGTCACATTTCCTAACCATGAAATGGGGACAAAATTTTGTAGGATGGATGAGAGGATTAAAAATGCAGTTGACTGAGGCAGGAGGATCATTGTGAGTTCAAGACCAGCCTGGGCTACAAAGTAAGCTCAAGGTCAGCCTGAACTGATCCTGAGATCCTGATTCAAAACGACAAATAAATAAATAATGCAGTGAAATATCAGGTGTGGTGGTACACATCTATAATCCTAGCACTCAGGAGGTTGAGGCAGGTGGACTGTTGGGAATTTGAGACCAGTCTGGGCTACACAGTGAGATTGAGGCCAGCCTAAACTACATAGTGAGACCTTGTTTCAAAAACCCAAAAAGAAAAACAAAAACAACAATAAAACAACAGTTGAAACCTTTAACAATGTTCTTTAAATTTTGGTACTTTATAATTTTAAAGCCAACTCTGTTCAAAACTTTTCAATGCTTCTCATTTACTGAGTACAGAAATCAGTTCCTATTTCTAGTCCTTTACATTTACATTTATTTTCCCTAATTCACACATTACTCTCCAGAAACCCCTACCTCTTACATTCCTGTCTTCATGTTTGCTGTTCTATCTGCAATATGTCACAGCGTTCCGTAAACAAACCTCCCATAAAAATGTGAGGCACTTGTATACTTGTATCGCCACCTGTTGAGCCCTACTCATTTGTTTTAGAGTCTTAGTCACTTTCCCATTATTGAGACACAGAACCCAACACCCACAACTTACAGGAGGAGAGGTTTATTTTGGTTCCCAGTTTCAGTCCACATGGTTGAAATAGAATGGCAAAATGGTGGAGGAAAAGGTGCTCAACCCATGGCAACCAGGAAGCAGAGAGAAGAGAGGAATGGGGACAAGAATATACCTTTCTAGGTCATGCCCCCAAGTGATCCATCTCCAACCAGGCCCCACCTTCTAACAGCACATTCAGCTACTGACCTCACCAATGGACGAATCCACTGTTGAGTACAGCATCCTATGATCTAGTCACCTTTCACACCCATGAGAATTTTGTGGGATATTTTAGATCAAAACCATAATAGCTACAAGTTACAAAACCTGCAAGTAAATGATAAAGATGTATTGGTTTACATGTCCAGCGGTGGGTCACACTTCAGGAATGGCTTCATCAGGTCACTGGCTCAGCTTTTCTGTAGTATTTTCCTATCATGCTCCAAAATCTCAATAAGTTTTGTCTTCCAGCTAGCTTCTCTCAAGATAGCTAAAATAAAATTTGGCTGCAATTGTAGGCCTCATAATATACTCTACTACCCAGAAAATAAAAGAATATTTCTTTCTCTTTCTTCACTTTTATTGGAACAACAGCCCCAGGTTCTTAATAATTAGGAGGTGGGATAGTGATTTAGTAAACAGGTTCTGAGGTTAAAGTCTATCTCCTAGCTACATGACAACAGTAAATTTTCTTTCTTTTGTTTTGGGTACTGGGGATTGAACTCATGACCTCACATTTGCCAGACAGGCGCTTATGCCACTGAACTAAATCTCCAGCCCAGTAAATTATCTCTTGGTGAAACAGTTTCCTCATCCGTATGAGAAGAATTATAAACAGTATGTCTGTCATAGGTTGTTGAAACTAGAAAAGCTTGCAAAGCACTCAGCAGCTAGCAAAAGCTCCATAAAGGTTAGCTATTGATAAAAGCATATTTCTTTAGAAACATTTCTCTTAATACAATGAGCTTCAGGGAGTTTTCTGGACAAGAGTCTTCTAGACATTTCTCTGTTGAATCTGTAGTCAATCATTCAGCAAACATTAAATGAGGGCCTACTGTTTTAGGAACGAGGAACGAGCAAAACAATGTCGTGTCCTGGCAGAGATCACACTATAGTGGAAGATGAGGATGGGACAGATAATAAATATACATGTGAGTATATTTCAGGTGGCATCGAGAAAAAAATCCAGCAGGAATGGATATGGAGAAGCACAAAGTGGTATGCTAATTTAAATGTGGGTCAGAGAAGGCTTCTCAGAGAAATAATCTTTGAGCTGAGACATGAAGATGGGGAATGATCCACAGGAATATCTGGAAGAGGAGAATCTGAGGCAGAGAAAACAACAAATATAAAGGCCCTGAAGTAACAGTATGCTTGGCCTGTTAACAGTGAACAGGAAAGAGGACAAAATGATTTTGGGGCAGAATAGCAAAGTTATAGGGGACCAGTTCAGAAGGGCAGCAGGTCACAGAGAACCTGGCAGAACATGAACATAATTCTCAGTGCCAGCAGACAATAGGACACCACCTACATACACAAATTTACTAACTGAGGCTATGAACAAAACAGGGTGAGAGCCTCTACCTGGGGCTACGGTGGGGCTGAAGGAAGGCGAGAGAAGGCTTCTCTGAGGACGTGGCTCCTGAGCTGAATGCTGAAGGATGAACTGGAAGTGTGTGAGCAGACAGGCAGGGGCAATTCAAATAATGAAAATGACTGTGGTGTCTTCAAGCAAATGTCATAAGGCCGTGCACAGGGAAAGCGGCGAGGAGTGACCAGAAAGACAGCAGAAGAGGTTGCTAGGGGCTGGGTTCATTAAATGATTAACTCATTCAAGAATTTACTGAAGGGGTATGTGCCAGCTATTGCTGAATGTTTGGGAACTTGGCGACACAATCAACTGTCAAAAATCCCTGGTCACCCTACCTGTCAAGCACAAGGTCCTGAATTTGATTTCCTGTATCGCCCCCCCCCCCCCCCAATTCCTGATCTTGTTGGACATGCACTCTGGAAGCCTGAGGCAGGAAGATGACAAGTCAGAGCACAGGCTGTGCAACTTGGCAACTTACTGAGACCCCGTCTCAAAAATTAACAATAAAGAAATAGCTGAGGATGGGATGTAGTTCCGTGTGAAGGCCGTAAGTTTACACTGAAAGCCATGAATGGAAAAAAAGAAAAAGAAAAAAAAAAGTCTCATGGAGCTTTATATTTCTATTCATGGATCCACTCTACTGGGAGAGACAGAAAAAAAACACATAAATAGACTAATAAATGTCAGAACAAGAGACCAAACTGTTAGGCAGGGTGTTTAAGGAAGAACTCTCAGAAGTGCTATTTAGGCAGAGATTTGGGGGAAGAATATTCCAGGCTTTGCTCTCCAATGTCATCATCTGTCTGGTTTTATTTCTCTTCCTTTTGAAGTGGGACATGGAGGTCATCAAACCAGAGAGGAGTAGTTATTACTGCTGGTCTGTCACAGACAGCACTCTCAGTAGAAACTGTTGCATTGGGAATTCTCTCAGGCAGATTCTAGGGGAAAGACATGAAGAATACAATCATGAAATCACAGGTGGGAAGAGGAGTGGAAAACTTGACAGCTGACAGTGGTACTCCTGTCCTCCTCTCAGCAGATCTCCTGGCTATTTTGGAGAAGTGTGCACGTGGTGGGGGGCGGGGAAGGGAGAAAGAGACTGCTATAGAACAGGATGAAGAGACTCTTGGGCACTTAGCTTGTTATTCATTAAAAGCACAATTTGTATTTTCTTCTAGGGTACTTAAAAGCCATTTTTGTTAAAAATTGACTCTTCACTTAGGCCTATAGATGCATAATAGGTAACTAAAAGCAGAAAGAAGCTTGCCCTTTATTTTGTATGCTTTGTTATCTTAAAGCTTAGGTCAAATCTCTTAATTTTTCATATAGGTATGTTAGTCATTTAGGGAATGTCTACCTAAAAGTTGGCTAAAGGTTGATTAGCTCTGAATTTACATCTCCCTTCAAGACTGAGGATACCAAAATAAGGAATTTATCTCAGTGTACTGAAAGATGAAAAAAAAAAGACAAGGAATTTATAGGTTTTTATTTTTTAAATTTTATTTATTTTTTTTTTACCGGTACCAGGGATCGAACTCACAACCACGCGCTTGCAAGGCAGACGCTTATGACGCTGAGCTAAATCCTCAGCCCCATTTATAGGTTCTTTACACCCAGAAGTCTTCCACTATTGGTCCTAAACTTGTTACCACCTTGACTCCAGAAAAACCAGAGCCCCACAGGACTGAAACCACAACATAAAAAATCTTTTCATGGGAACAAATCTTCCCTCAGTCATGAGGATTCCAGAGCTGAAATGGTATAGAGATGATGATCAACCGGACCCCCAGCCCCACCGCCACCCAGCGCCTCCTACCTTTGCGGTGGGCCATTCTGATCCCCTCATCACAGGGTTCCCTCTCCAGCTGCTCAGCTGGTATTCTTTCCCATTTTTCTTACTCTACTTTGTTGAGGCCTGGCTTGATCTCTGTCAGCGTCATCAACTAAAGTCCCTTATTATTTTCTCTTACTTTCTAATTATAGCTTTTTCCTGTGAATTTGTGCTTTAGTTTTTACTTCCATTATTACTAACAACAAGAACCCATGAGCTGGTGATAGTTGGGAGACCCTGAAGCCTGGATTCAAGTGTAAAATTCCAACAGGAGAAATTTTATGTGGGAGGTCCACTACCAAGATCAACAAATAAGACATCTGCGTCCCAGAGAGGTAAAGCTACTTGAATGTAATCAATCTTATTATGTTTTTTGGAAGAGTGGTACCTCCCGCCCAGACCACCCTCACCTCAGCCTCTGCTTAGTCCCCGCTTTAGCAGCCAGGAAAGATCCTCACCCAGCTCAAAATGCGGGTACTTTTCGCCTCTTCCGGATCGCTCTGGCACGACTCCTAGAATACAGCTCTGGGTGCTGGTTTCAGGCCTCTCCCATCTCAAGCACCACCCACCAGGGCCAAATTTAGGGCACGCCTCCTTCCGGCTCCTCCCCAGAGTGGCTATCCTGGACGCCCCCCTACTGTGCTTCCGGGTCCGCCTCCTCCAGGCACGTTCTACCTTTAGCCCCGCCCACATCCCGCCTTGTTTCGAGCGCTGCTCCTGCTCCCAGATCTCTGAGGCCTAAGCCGTCTTCCACACCTGTCCAGCGTCTTTCTTTTTTGCATCACCACCCTCTCATCCGCCCTGCCCCCTCGCTCCTATTGGTGTGACGCTCATCCCTCCTCTAGCCCCGCCTCTCCCCGCTGGCCCCCTCCTTCCAGACCCCGCCCCAGCCCCCTCCTCCTCCTTCTCGCGCCGAAGCTCTGGACCTTTCCAAAACCAGGCTCGGGGGGTGGGGAGAGCTCACGCACTTGGGAAGCCGAGCTGGGTAAGGAAGGGGCTGAGGACTCCTTGTGCTTGTGTCACTGTGTCCTTTCCTGGAGAGACAGGCCAGGTAGGGAGAAAGTCAGGGGCCGGAGGATAGGCGGGGCCGACCCGAGGGAAGCTGCTTCTGGCGCCCCCACCCCTGCGCACCTGAGTGGTGTTGGCCAAGGGAAGGACTAGCGGCTGCGGGGCTCGCGCCGCTGTCAGTGCGGCGGGGCGCGCGAGCGGCGCGGGCGCAGGGCGCAAAAAACGAGACGAGCTGAGGAGGTGGTAGCGGTGGCGACTGGCGCGTGTGTTCAGCCTTCTCAAGCCGCGGCCGGGGCCCCCTCCTTACACCTCTCTCTCTTCCGCCCAAGTGCGGGGCAATCGCCTTCTGTGCTGTGCGGCTTCCAGCAGACCTTTAGGCGCGGGTGAGTGGGGGCCGCAAGCATCTCGTTAAGGGCGCGGGGGGGTGTTCCTTGTGTCTTCTAGGTCGCCTACCCCTTCAGGCTGGCCGCTCCCTATTTTTAGAAACTCTTTTTTCCGCCATTCGGGAAGTCCTGGTAGCCTGAGTAACTCCAGGCCCCCTCCCCCTCTCCTCCTCTCTCTTGGGTCCGCCACCTTCAGTTCCCGGCCCCAGCCCACCCGCGCTGGCTTCTTGGCGCCCGAGCGTTTGCTGCCCGCTTTCTGAACGCGGGCCTGGCCTGGGCCAGGAGTTGGCGGGGTGGGCCCGCGCCCGCTCGGAAGTTGGAGTCTTTGTGCTCGTGCCCCGCCCCGCCCGGCGAGGGGAGGAGGGAGGAGAGCGGAGGCTGCGCCGGGAGGCCTCGGGCGGGCTCGGCCTCGGCTCGGGCGCCAGCCCAGGGCTTCTTCCGGCGCCCCCGCCCTGGCTGGGGCTGTGCGCTCCCCGAGGCGCGCGCAGCTGCTGCTGTCTTAGCTCCCCATGGGTCAAAGCGCTTCGGCCCCCGCCAGTGACGGTCGTGGGCTCTAGGCATACCTTGATCTCGGAGAGGAACAATGGGCCGGCGAGCTGTAATCATGTTCCGCACTTCACCCAACCTCTTGGTAGACGAGTCTTAATTTGCTACTCCGTGAAATGGGGTTAAAAGAAAACTAATCCCGCAGGGTGTTCGCGAGTCCAGACTGGGAACTAATATGTGAGAGAAGCATTTAAAACCATCAGGTAACATTTAATGACTGGAGGAGGAACTTGATAAAGACTATCATGTAATGCTCACAATGGCCTTCTAGAATTGCCTTCATTGACAGAAGCAGAAATCTAGATGCAGAGAGGTTAAATCATTTGCTTCAACTCCTAGTACTACGGAAGTACAAAGCAGTGGTTATTTGTGTTTATATTTTCTGGAGCATATATCATCACAGTGTAGAGATTGTTTTGACTTAACCTTTAGGTAACCCTACTGTTTAGTTAGCATCTTAACCAAGAGTCATCCCTGACTCCAGGGCCAGTGTCCACTGTATTATGGATGAAGTTTCATTCTGAGACAACCTGAGCTCCAAGGGAAGGGAAGTTCCGATGAATTTCTTGCCGGTAATTCCCTTAGAGGTTGATGAATGCAGGAGACTCCATGTCTCAAACACTACTGAAATTCTCTCACCTTTGGCGCAAGAAGCCATTAATTTTTTATAAACTGTGAAATCTATCTTGTGCTTTGTTCATTGAATGAGTCTCTTCAGACTTGCACGCTCTGTTTAGATTTATATTATCGATTGTATTTTGGGGAAGAGGGCAAGATATAGAGCTCAAGTCATCTTCAACTTGCTGTTTTCAAATACTTTTTATTTTTCCTATTTTCGGATAAGATCCAGAGGGGTTAATGTAAACTAAAATTAACTTTGCTAAGTGTTCCAGTGTGTTTGATCCTGGTTGTGAGAAATGTCTAAAAATCAGGCGGAAGCATTCTTCAGCCAGGTCTTAAAAGAGTCTGGTAATGTTTGCTTTAGCTGTTCGGAGCTGGGAGGTCTGTTCTGTACCCTCCACCTCTTAAGATTCTGGAATTATATTGAGGAGTGGTGGCATATAAGAGGTTGAAAGGGTCTTACCAACTGTCTGGTCCAAGTATCTGCTAGTATCTGCTTTCCTCTTTCCTATTGACTGAATTTTTTTTGTTTTGTTTTGGTATGGAGAATCGAACTCATGACCTCATTGCTTGCCGGGCAGACACTGTGGCTGGGCTTGGTTGAAACTTGGAAAGGGGATATAAGTTGCCAGGTTCACAGGTTGCGAGTTAGAATAGCAATTCCCAGTCTTCTTCCAGGCTGGTAATTTTTATTTCTCCCATATCTTGCCACTTCTTAAAAACGGCACTAAACCACTTATTTATTTAGGCTTTAAGATTACGAATCCTGAGTAATTGGAAATCTCAAGGAGGTTGTGTAGTCCTGGCCACCTAATGTGTTTTGTATTTAGCATTAAAAAGAAGCCAGGTTTTGTGCACAGGTGTACTAGTTTTTTTTTTAAATATTTGTAATTTATAATATTCTTTTGTAAGCATTATCTGATTTTTTTTTTTTATTCTAGTTGTGTAGGGGAGTTTGTGAACTTAGGCTTGATTCATGTCTTCTTTTTACTGCTATTTGGCATTGGAAACATACCAAGGTAGGGGCACTTGACTTCTATCATAGAATTAATAAGTGTAGAGTACAAAGCAGCTGGTAGGTAGAGGATTTGATGAACTGAGCTACTCATTGTGGACTTTTGGGTCTCATTTTCTTTATGTAAACTTTCACAGGGTTGTGGGGACAGTGAGAAAGTGCGTTGTAGTAAAAAAAAAAATACTTCACGTGTACCATCAGTCACTGGAATAAGAACTTTCACTGAAGTGTGTCATTTAACACAGAGCAACCTATTAATTAGGTATTATTATGGAAGAAGAAGCAGACAGTTTATATGATTTGTATATGGCCAAGCCAAGATTAGAACTGCAGACAGTATAACTTTAAAACTGGCATGCTTTTTAGAATTGTGGGATTTTATAAACGTAAATATTTCATTTATTAGTTTAACAATCATTAAATACAGTTATGTGATGTTGTATATTCACAGTGTTGTATGTCCATCACTGCCATCCATATCCATTACTATCCTTTCCTTTCCCTTGATCCCCTGGCAACCACCATTCTAATTACTGTCTATGAATTTGTCTACTTTAGGAATCGCACATAAGTGAAATCATACAATATTTGTCTTTTTGTGACTGACAAAGCTGGCACTCTTAGTGTCTTCATCTCATAGTGCTCTGTAAATGATTATTCATTCTCATCTGCAGTAGGGTGTGGCTTGAAGCCCCACAGCATGAGTCTAGAGTTGGTTCTGTCTCTGAAAGCTTTCTTTGCCCTTTCCTCTTTGTGTGGATTGAAGTTTCTTATTGCTGAAGCCTTTTTTGGATTTGTACTAACTCCCAAGTATATCCTCAGAAGAGACCTTCTCCTTTTGAAATAGAAACCAGAGAATTCTCCTTGTTTGCATTTGCATTTCTGACCAGGGTTTGAGCATATGGGACTGCAGTGATCAAGAATAGTGGTACTCTGACAGCAGCTTGTATCAGACTGGCTAAGTGGATTAACCTTATGACATGCTCCTTCTCTGTGTCCCCTTCTTTCCATACAATCACACAGGAGGGATTAACATTTAGGTTCTTAGAGGATATTTATCAATTCTCACTGCTTGTAAGTGCATAGGGTAGAGTTAGATGATACATTTAACCTCAATGTTTTCTTTAGTTTGACTGTTTCTATATCTGAGTTTTTGGAGTGGATGGAGAGTATATGTTTATGAAAGGTGGTTTGATTTTGTCCAGATACCAACAGGGATTGAGGGCAGGAAGTGTTGTAGAGATGGAGAAACATGCTTTACTTCTATAACCTCCCTGTCCTCATGTTCATGTTCGTGTCCATGCTGTCCTTCAAAATCTGACGTCTGCATTGCCTGCATACTAAAGTCCAAACCATTGAAGTCAGAGTATGCTTTATTGGGTAGAATCTTGTAATTGAAGGGCCATAAAGTTACTTAGACCACCTGGCCAACATTTGAGTCAACTACTTGTTGAGATTGTTTCATTGGATACCTCATTCATTATTGGAAAGCATTCTATTCACTGAACAATTTTAAACCATCTGCCAACATGTACTAAGCTTGGAAATTTGGGTGCATATGGACTGATGGGGAAAACAGGCAAGGAAACAGGTATGTGAGAAGTGTGACAAAGATAGGCACCAAGAAAGCATGTAGGAATGGCTTCTGACCATTGGAAGGTCAGAGAAAGCTTCCGTGGAGAAGTTGGCCAAGCCTAGTCTAGAAAAAAAAATAAACATAAGCCAGAAAAAGAAGAGGCAGGAAGAAGGTATAGTTAGGACTGTTCCGGACAGGAGCCACACAAATCCAGGATGGTGATAATAAGTGAGACTTTTAGCCATTTACTGTATCTGTCAAATACTACTCTAAGCATTTAAAATGTAATAACTCGTTTCTTTCTATAAACACCTTCAGAGGTACGTACAATTGTTCTCATCCTTTAGCTGAGGAAATAGGTCCAAACAGGTTAAATAAATTTCTGGGTTATTACTGGGTGAAGCATAAAGCATCAGGCAAGTGGGTGTGGTGAGGGAGGAGACTGACAAGGTGTGTAAAGGTCCAAACTATTAATTCCAAGGAAGGCGCCCATGGCTATCTTAGAAGAGTATCTCTGACGACTTGTTACAGCAGCGGACCAAGTGCTAGAATGTTATGGCCAGAGACCAGTTAGGAAGCTAATGGAGTGATGGAGGCCTGGGGTGATGATGTTTTAGATGAAGGTTATGGTACTGTATATATGTAGGAAATGTTTGGAATTAAATGATAAGACTAACAAATGTTTGTTGGTGTGGAAAGTGAGGAAGGGAGCAGGCTGGCTGACATTTGGGTTTCTACGTGGTGCAGTTGTGTACACAAAGAAGGGGAAAGGGTTTCTCATGCAGGATCTTCTCTATCTGCTTTCATTGACTTCTATTTACAGGTCTCTGTTCTCTGTGTTAGAGGATGAGGGAGGGAGAAAGAGGAAGTGTGACAACAAAAATCTGATAACTATTCCTGGCTAAATTGGATGATGTAACAGTAGTTTGGAGAAGGAGAAAATATTAGATCTTAGACATCTAGGTCCTGCACAATGCTGAAGACTGCTTGTGCTAAGTGAAGAGAAGCTTACATTTTTTCCTTTAATGTTTTTTTTTTAGCACTTTACATATACCAGTGTATCCTTTTTTAAGTCTGAAGTCACCTCTGTGTTAGGCATTGGGAAAAACAAAGATAAATGAAACAGCCTGAAGAGCTCATGTTTCCAAGAAGCAGGAAATCTCAGTAGCTAAGATACCTTGGTGTGGTGAGAAGGTGATTGGATGAGGCAGACAGGGCTGAATATGGAGAGATACAGGAGAG